TGAAAACTTGAAATAAATGTGCATTCTCTTTTTACACTGCTGTTTATTATTTTCCTTCTTAATTACTTTATTGTAAGCCCAAATGACGCCCTGAAAGTAGGCAACCAAAATACTTGCACTTACTTCGTATGGCTTTTCGACGGAACTACCAAAAATCGTGAAAGGAAGTTCAGCTCCTGAAAGGCTCAAAAAATGTAGCGGTTTTTAAACATTTTATGTCATTTCGGCAACACCGCCTCGGTAATTGCATAGCGAAAAACGAGCAAAATGTTGAGTCATCTATGAGTGAATCGCTAACGCAAGGATGGTCATAAATAGATTTTTTGTCAACCGGTAGTATTCCAGAACCGTCCGCGAAGTTTTGGTTACATCGAGTACTGATATTATATTCTAAAAACTAGTTAAACATTACGCATTTTGATACTAAATAGCAAACTCTACAAGCTTGCAGCCTAGCATCAAAATACGTCAATTTAGACCAGTTCGTGTCGGACGCTTATTTGTTGTTAGCTTTTACGTAATGAAGTATCGTGACAGCCCAAACCGCCATCTATCGCCAAAATCCACCACTGCGAAGAGTGCATATCAGGTGGTGTTGGAAGTATAAAGAGTTCAGTTCACGTTTAATAGCCCAGTCGCCATGTGACCGCGAGATGGCTGACGATTCTGTCTGTGTAGTAGATGAGGTCTACTTGTCTTTGAAATAAACCAAACTAAACTGTTCAGTACTTGTGACTGTGCGTTAACAAGAGGGACTTTGGCTGGTAGACAAACTAAATAATGTGTGGAATAGCAGTCATACTCTTGAAACATCCTCGGTATTTGCATGTATACCTTATGTTCTCAAGCAGCTGATCGCTTTTGACTTATTAAAGGCTCATCCAGGTAGAGCACGTCTCGAGCCAACAGCAGAGCTCGCATCCTTGTACGTTTGGCTCCGTGTTTACTGCTTGCGACACCATTTAAATTCGCTGCATGCCCGAGTTCCACTCCAGGATTAACTGAAATTTATATGAGCATGCACCCGGATTCACGCTCTCAGGGGGATACCAGGCGAGTACGATATATTCTCGAGAGAAGGATCAGTATCGGTGGAATAGAGTAACAACTCTCATTCAGATATCTGTTCTATAGGAATTGTCGTATTGCCTTATCGAAAGATTCGTTGCCTATGGCATTTCTTACAATTTGCGGCACATGTTGGGTCACAAGCAGCATGCCTCATTTTTGTCTCCATTACTTATATAGCTACATGTTGGAGATTTGTATTCAAACCTTTTCTAGTCCAAGTATACCTGCAACTATGATCAAAATCCGTTTTCTTGGGTAAACCAAGACAGTAAATAATTCGGAGATGGATTTCTTGATGATATTAACAAAATGTATCTGGATTCAAACATATATAGAACCTTCAGTGAAAAATAAATGTTTCGAGATGCAAAGTACCATCCTTCCACGACCCATGAAAAATATCAAGTGCTGAATACGAAGGGTCAAGGGCAGTAGAAATCAAACTAGGTTCATTCATCTGTCTTCCAGGTGACATTTCGTTTGTTTCTTCCTTTTATGTTGACATTCGTATACAGTGTATTGCTGGAGGTATAAAAGGTCCTGTAACACGCTGAGATGGTGAGAAGCCATCATTGTAATTTTAAGATGGCACCACACAAAGCCAGATAAGCCAAGGATCCCAAAAGGACGTCGAACGTCCTAGAGCGACAAGCGAGCATGCCATTTTTGAATGTACCAGACACCACCGCCCTCGTACATCGTCCCAAAGATGCCAAAGTCCTCCGAAAACGCGAAAACCCACCTAGAAGTGCGTATGCATGTTTATGGATCTCAAATGCTAGAAATAGGACTGTGACATCTAAAGGGAACAATGTTGGTTGTCTAGTGAAGGAATAAACTGGTTTCATCGCCATTATTTTAGTTTGAGCTTTGAGTGACTGCAAATCTGATCATTCTTCGGAATTTGAATATATTATGTGTAAAAAAATATTCAACATGACCCATTATATTGCAAAGTCATTAGGCTTAATTGTTTTAGGCCGTTAAAGTGTGTATGTTCCTGTATGTGGAAAAGCAACTCCTATAAACAACTTGGGAACTTCGTGTTTCCAATAACTTCGAGGCACTTTTGGTATCATTTCTGTGATCTGTGCTACAAACGAATTTTTAAGAAATTATTCTTATTCAGTATTATGTCTACGACTTTTCTAAAAGATTAATTTGAACTTATCATAAGGAAGCAATAATCAAATGATACCACCAAAAGAAAATTCTGTCCTCAAGATTGTAGGAAAGAATTACCGATTTCCTGTCCGAATATTGGTGTCTGTCATGTCCCCAAAGATAATATACTGACATTGCTGTATTATTGTCAAATGCCTACGTGCATCGTGCATAGTTTCTACTAGTTTCTACGGAAACCGAAATTAATTCTCGGCAACCAAACTTTACCCAACAACAATTATTACAAGCATAGGAGGGAATCATATATTCGCGATAGACGACTTACAATAATAGCTCAGTCGAAATAGTACAAACAGAACAGTGGGAAAATTTACATATTTGTTTCTAGTTGTTACAGAAAAGGTACGCTTGGGCAATTTGGACCGTTGACTTTGATTGTGTTAGTGAAAAAGTCCTAAGGTGTAGCGGAGCCCTAATTGATGTAGGAAAATCAAAATCAGTCTATACAAAAGTCTATGGTCTATGTTTCCAATTCACGAGACACCAATTTTGGGTGAAATTGAATATGCGCAAGAACTTTTAAGAAATTGCTTCGTAGTACATACGCCTTTAAGCTCAAAGCAAAACTACATTATTGACATCTTTCCATGCTCTACAAAATTCTGCTTAATAGATTATTAGAAGAAGTACATAAATTTACAGATGTTTACTATCGAGTAGATATTCAGTTTTGATTACTGTTTCCATCTAACTACTTCTATGGCCAACACGTGCTTGTAGCCAATTTTCCTGGCTTAATAGAAAATGACGCCCTCTTTAAGCGAAACACAATATGGAAAAATGACAATGAGAAAGAAGTTCGAAAACTAACGAATCAACATAATGGAGTTATCGAATCGGCACGTTAATTACGCATTTTTGCTAAATAATGGCGTTTTGAAATTGAAAACTCGAACTCTAGCGGGAATTTTAGGAAGCTGAAAATAATTTCTAGCAATTTTCCTTGGCTACTTTTGTCATCGAATTTTTTTACGGATGGCTCTAGCTTAAGCAATTGCAGAGATACAGCCGGCATCCTTAATTACTGGTGCATACAAAAACACTCAACTTTGACAGATGCCATATTGAGAGATGGTAATTTTTCATGGGGTTATAAAGTATAAGGAGCTCCAACATGAATCTTCATACGATCCCTCTTTTCATCTAAGAAAGGGTTCCAAAATGGCGCCCAGCCACCATCTTGAAGTTTTCAACTGCCACTTTCACGCTAAAATATGGTTTTCATGCATTAATGAAATGAGTTTTCAAAAACCACTGTATAATGTTGCAGGTATTCCACAAATAGCGTCTAGAGTACTCACAATGTCACTATACGATACTAGGTACAATGTTACCAGTCGTTTTTTACGGCTGGGTAGTAAATAACATAGTTGCAAGCTTAACAACGCACTTGATTGCAATAAATTTTAACTCTGACGAATGTGTTACGTTTTTTATGTTAGTCTTTCGTACAGAGAGAATCATAGAAGTGATATGTAACATAGGTGTTGTGTTAATTTACATTTCTTGTGGATTGTTTCAAACGATTGCAAAAACGTCATAAAACAATTGGAATTCAAACTCACACAATTTAAACCTTGCATGAGGCATTGACAACTGGGAAACTAGTGCATAGAGCTTCTTTTGGGCTTAGTACAATATTTAGATCTTGAAAGAAAAAATATCGAATAACCATCAAAATCAGAAACAAAATTTTGGACTGAAGAACACTTTTCGTTGTAATGATTTAAGAAGGAAAGCGATAAGGGAAATTGAACAAAAGACTATTATTTCTTGACCTCTTCTCAATACATGTTCATAAAGTACGGTCCTCACATTTTGAATACTCAATTCCACCAAGCGCCTGGTCGAATAGCTAAGAGAAAAGTTCTTTTGGGATGGGATTCGAAGCCGCGCACCTCACGGCGACTGACTCATAACACCTACCACCGCCTATTGCTTATTATTAAAAACTACATCCAAATATTGGCCTATCCATGTTTTAATTTTGCCTATTTTAGTGTCGTATTGTCAGTCGTTTCTACAACTTTAGGACGCCCTTATGTCCTCCTTGATTTTCATAGCTTTTCTTGTTATTCATGGTGTTTCTAGATCTCTACTGTTCGATGTTACCCTATTTTCGGGTTATTTTATAAATTCTTCCTGAAATTCAAAAAGAAAACATAAGCCCCAGCTTTTCTGGAGTAGAGAAAATACTATGAAAATCCTACATTGTAGTGCGCCTTTACGGCCTCCTTGATTCTCATACTCCTTTTTCTCCTGCAAAAATTTCTAGATTGCACCTGTTCCATTTTCGCGTCAGGCGTTTCCAACAAGAAAAATATACAGAAAAAAAAATTTGGAGAATATTTCCCTCGTGTATAAAAAATGGCATAAGAGAAGTGGAAATATCGCAAAATTACAGCGAAAATTTCCCGTAATCGGGACAAAGGGAAATTTTCACAGAACATTGCCCAGTAATAATCAAAAAATTCCCTATAGGTCCGTATCTATAGTTACAATTAATGAAATGTGCACTTGCCATCGAACTCTAAAAGCCGTTGTAATGGGAGATATTCTACCGAATTACACTGTGTGTATAATCACTGCCCAAAATACTGTGAACATCGATTTAGTGGCATACATTGCCATTGTCACAGCAGAAACACATATGTCATCTAGCTCTTGCTAGTTATAAACCTTGGTATTGCCTTTGCTCGCATATGCAAGAATTGCTAAATAAAATTGAAAAACTTCATTGAAAGTATCGCCTCACCTGTTGATCAGCAAATTGTCCAACAGCCTCTGGTCCTGCTCGCTGCGTATACTCGCAAGGTGCCCGCCTCTGCGCGCGCACTCCATCTCCGCCTGTTGCCATGACAAGCGCACGCCCTCTATCGCCGTGACGCAGAACTGCCGTAGCGCCGCCCACCCGAACTCGCACACGCCCACGACGCGCTCGATTGGTTCTGCGCGATAGGACATTCGCATGCTGAGAGAGGGGCTTGGAGCGGTAGGGGCGGAGCGAACGGTAACCTGTAAGCAATGCTTTGTGATAGTACGGTATTTAAGAAGGGTCGTTGGCTGTGGAAATTTGTTGTTCACGCAGCAGGAATTTCTGGGAATCACGAGGGATTGGCAGGAATGACATTGCAAGAGGCTAAAGTTCACACCAACCTGTATAGATTTTGTATAGCAGACGAAGCACTTGAAAGGGTAAAAGAATGATATCAATTCTAGTTGTTTCAAGCAAGAAAGAAAAAGGCATTAGTGAAACGTGAAAAGAAACAAAAACGCCCTCAAACAAAAAATGTGCCACCGCGGATGCCCGCTTACATACAGTGATATTGAGTTACAGCTGCTAGTAGGATCATTCATTAATTGAGCATTCTGCCAATGTAGTTTATCAACCGTTATAAACATTTTGCTTCAACTATGTTCCTAATCGTATCTAAATTCTGTTATGTTCCATGTGAAAATGAGCATCAGTGCGCATCTACAAATCGTCGCGCTCCTGTAGGTCAGCAAATACCTGGGCATGCCAAAACTAGCGCAAATGGAAAGGACGATATTCGTGCGTGTTTTAATATGGCATAGAAGTTTTTACAAAGGAGATAGAGAGTACAAAATGCCATATGAAGTTCTATATACAATTTCCTAGTACGAATCTAGGCGGATTTTGGGAAGTATCGGGGACTTATAGTGCATTAAAAGGAATTATGGGGCAATTCCTAAAACAAGAGGAATTATTGGGTATAAATAGTCATTACGGATAATTTTTTGGACGTGGAAAAAATGGGATAAGGCCGTTTCTAATTTGGATCTTCTACTAATCGTCGCATATCCTTACTCATCATAGGCCTAAGAACATTGGCCGGCAAGGTAATGCCTATCAATTACTGTGTGCCAGAAAGCCAAATCGCTAGTATACCACAGTAAATCAGAGTCTTAGGAAGCCTCAGGAGACAAAATTAGTTGGATCGTTTATTAGAATAAAGGGCTTTAGGACGTCGCTTTGAACATATGCAAAACATGCCATTTAAATAATTAAATTGGTTAACGAACCTTTCTCACAATTTTGATTGAATATCTAATTTCTATGGGCTCATTGTTTTATTTCATTTTGGGTTGTCAGCTGTTGCCTCCATCCTGGGAAATTGCCAGGGAGCGGAAGGGATCCACGAAAAAGGACAATTAAGAACTTTACGAAAACAGATGCGTATCGTAAAATTACCATGGAATTTTCCAATTCAATGTTTTTCTCATTCCTTTTGTTAAAAAAAACCGATAACCTACACTTCGTTTTAGATTAGCGTAAACATAGAACATTTTTTGAGTTTCTCCTGCTCGTCTGTCCTTCACCAAGTCGAGCGTGATATAACGAACAGCATTTCACTCATTTTTTATAGTAGTAAATGGAAAAGCTACTGATATTTTCATTCTTTCTCGTTAATTAGTCTTCCTTCTGTTTGCCGTACCGAATTCTTTGTTTGAGCAGCGAATATTATGTTTGCAAATACAATTAACTGTATGTAGCGTTGCCGCTTTCTGTGATAGGATATAGGGATATAATAACGCCGTTATATTCATCAAACATAATAAAGCATGAACCAATAAATTTGTCTGCTATAGTGAATCTATGTTTACCAAATTATTCAGGCCTACACTCCTTCTCGACTTCTAAAAATAGACCTTTCCGCAGAGGCTTAGACACGAGTTGTAGTGAGATAGAAATATTATTATATTATTTTGAGTAAATTTTTACGAATATGAGTCTATGCATCGATCAAATAAGCTACTGCCGACCGAAGTGTAAGTGTCAGGTGTCAAGATAGCTAAGATTTTTTTCTCAGTACAGCTGCTTAAAAAGCAAAAGCTAGTTTCTGATTGGTGATACATTGGAGATTTCGAACAAAAAATATTGGATTTTTTTCCATGAAGCACAATAGTACAATTAATTTCACATTATAAGAAATGGCGTTTACCAACCAACTGGTTTCCGATACGATAGCTCACGGACGTTTCCAGTTTGTAACACAGATGTGGACTTCTCCTCAATTTCTGCATTCCCAGATAAAATTTTCGTCACTATATTGCATTTGACTTAAACATACCGTGTACTGTTACTCTTAAATATCCCGCACTATATGCTTTATGCTAATCATGCAACTGAAAGAATATAGATATATTTTTATCTACGTAGCATTTTTTAGAATGGAAGTTGTCGTTAACCCATATCATACCAATGATACAAAACTAGTAAAAGTCACTGTTTTTTTTAATACACTTTATTAGTACATGCAAATGAAACGTTTACAGTTCTTCAATTTTTTTTTTGCATACTGATCATCCAAAAAATGCGCGGTTCGATTGTGCACCGTTGGTACCAAAGACAAACTTTTAATAGTGCAAATATATTATATAGTACTTCAATCCCTTCAAAAATTGGAGATTCTTAGTGGAATCATTATATTTTATAATGGACATAGTTGAAAATTATCCAGTACATAGAACGTCCATGTTTTTTTGGTGTTGCGTTCACGCACCATTGGGATGTTAGCCGACAGAAATATATTCATTTCTGATGATATTTTTCGAAGCAGGATACGTGTAAATGTACTTTACACCTTTTGCACATGTGCACTGTGTGACTATGACATTCTCTGCAACGTCTTCGTGCCTTATTCGGGTGACGAGTTACAGTATGGCCACAGTCATCAAACCGAACCTGAACAACTGGTTGCAAATTTCGAGGAATATGACGCCTGTCTGTCTTCATAAGACGAAGGGCTACGTAGGGTTTGAAATCCAATTGGGAAATTTTGTTCTGATTTACGGAATTATAAAGTTTCCAGCAATTAACGATGATACTGTCGATTGAATTACAAAATATGGGCCACCACCATTTCTTTCCCATGACTCTAATTCTGTAGTTTGCAATGCCATTATCGTGAAGATCGACACCTCCCATACAGCGATTGTACCTAGCAATGACGTTTGGTTGCTGTACATGAATTTCTCTTTTTTCTTTAGTGTGGTATCGGCGGACTTGGTTTATAGGCTCAACATTGTATACATTGCTACAAATGGTAACTATAGCATTATCATTCCAACGAACCATTGAAATTTTGTTATTTTTGTCATACGAGCAATCATACGCTCCTCGTTCTCGCTTGGACATGATTTTTGGTTCAACTAGCGGACAGTGTCCTGTTCGATTACTTCTTATAGTTCCTGTGGCATAAAAACCTTTGTTCTTCAGGTCAACTAGGAGTTGATATGAAGAAAAGAAGTTGTCAAAGAAAATATTGTGTCTAGCAGGATAATCCACGTTGGCAAGTAAATTGTTGACGATTTCACCACCAAGTCCCAATGACGTCCTTTCTTTGTTAGCGATTGCTCCTGCATATGGAATAGAACAGAATAAATATCCATCTGACGAACATAAACACCACTGCTTGAATCCAAATCGAACTGGCTTGCCTTTTATAAACATTTTGCAAGAATGCCTACCGAAATAAGGAACCATCTGTTCGTCAATTGATAAATTGTGTGCAAATACGCCCCACTGCATATTTTTTTTATTTACAGCGTCCAAATATGGACGAAGCTTAGAAAATTTATCATCTTTATCTAAATTACTATTATCAGATAAATGTATGTTTCGCTTTATGGCTTGGAATCTATTCCGACTCATGCACTTTTTCACTATGTCTATCCCCTTGTACTCCTCGTTTGACCAATAGAGCGGAACTTGCGGCAAGGTGTGATACCCAGAAAACAGCATAATGCCTAGGAAGTTCAGAAGTTCTCCTTTGGACAAACAAAATCCATGTCTGTTGTTTCACAGAAAAATCTAAAATCAAATTTATCAAATCATCATCAAAGAAAAGAAAAAACATCTCTAATGGCGTTTTTCCAACCAATACATTCTTTAAATGCTCCATATCAATGTCTTCGTTGCTGATGGATGAATGAGTGTACTCCAGTGGACCCTTTTCCCACTTTGGCTGGAGGAGCGGCACAGCAAAAGTTGTGGATGTGACTGGCACGGGGGGAGGAACCAGTCGCAATTTTTTTGATGCCAAAAACTCATCATCGGAAGTATCGAATCCATCATCGTCAAAAGAAAATGGCTTCCTCTTTGTTTGGGATTTCAGCAGCATCATCTTCATTCATAAATGCGTGGAGTTCAAGTGTACCAGCAATGTCTGAAGGACCTGGTACATCAATTTCGGGTAGTAGCTCATCTTCTACATCCTCCTCGTCAGTTACATTGTCTACATCTGGAGGTATGTAAACAGCATCAAGAGCACCTACGCAAAAATAAAAGGGATGCAAATGAGGTTAGGTTAGGAGTTTTCGCACACAAACCTTTTCTGTAGTTGTACAGTTCTTGTCCAGCTTCTTCAACGGCAGCTGCCAATTCACTTTGAGTCAGAAATCTTCGAAATGACATTCTTAAGATGGATGTATGCACATATCTCGATGGTATGCACTAAACACAACTAAAACGCAACTAACGTAAACACCTGCAAATGCGTACTGCGTACGTCAAGTTCTCGCGCTAACTTGTCTGAACAGGAAAATACTTAACTGATAAAACCAATGGTGCACAAACGCACCAGCAAAGTTTCCTCTTGTATAACTTCAATTATAAGATCGAAGCCAAACTTTTGACAAACAACATACAGACCACATAAGTTTCTTTTCCACTATTTACAGGTAATTATAGGAAAAAATGAGTCTAAACCATAATTCATTGAATTTTAGACATGTTTTACGGAACCAAATATAATATTCGTGTCAAAAACAACCGCCATTTTTTTCCCTTTGCTGTCAAGGTCAAAAACAAATTAAATTTGGATACAGTATCAACAGATTATCTCAAACTACACGTATTAAGCAGTTAGAACAAGGAACTATCCGGGAAAAAAATCATAAAATTGGCGGTGCGTAAGCGCACCACTGGGACCAAATGGGTTAAGTTTCATTTGATTTATTAATTCACTTTGTCTTGCGCATTTTCCTCTCTACGTATGATAACATTTCATAAATTATCAATACGTTGTGGATTTATTGTACGTTCATTGCCTCACGATGCAAATTAATTTTATCTATTGGATGATGTTTGAAATAAATAAATTTATACTGTTATTACATCAAGGTCCTTACCTTAAGTACTATTTTGTTCTCTCTCGACACGATTTCGATATGTCTTTCAGGGTCACCAACCTTTGTACAATGAGACCAGGTGGAAGAACCATCTTGCAGCTTTGTGAGAAGTCCTTGACAGGTATGATCGCCATTTACAGGTGATTGAAGATTCGTCGTGGTTTCCAACTTGTCACCTCCTGAAACAACATAACTTGATATTATGATGACCTTCAGTAGTCGTCTAGTTCACAGGGAAAATGAAAGCAATGACCACATTTTAACATATCTACATACTTCTAGAGTAAAAAGTGCATCCAAGGACAAACAAAGTTTCAATTAACACAGTTACTAAAGTGTCGTATTGCGAAGATACGAGCTCCTTCCCACTTCAGTTGGCCCAACTATTGAAATCTTAGTTTTTTTCTTATCGAAGACAAATAAAAATGTAGCAGGGCGTTACAGGTTTAAAATATTAACAATGAATATTTTGATAATATATAGTAGAAAACACCAACTTTATCACTTCCTGATCAAATTTGCAGCATAATAATAACACATGTTGCAATTACAGCATATCAACCTATTTTCATTTCAATGCAAAATAAGTCTATAACGCAAAGGTGGCTTTTACGCGACTGATGAGACAGAATAAGGACGGAACGCGAACATTGTCCAAATAACGGTATGATGAGTTAAAACTCCTTATACACCATATTTTAAATGTCAAACTCTACTAATTTTAGCGTACTTTCAACGTAGAATAGAATAAAGCTTTTTATATGGATTTTATCTCAAATACTCAAGCCTGTTTTATCTCCAAAAAGAGCAAAATTCCTCAAGAAAGTCGACTGATCTCAACCTGAATACCTCAGTCAAAAATGCACTAACCAAACTAGCTGTCGGGATGTTGCCACGTCGGATGCTTCTTGCATCATGCAGGTGAATCTTATCGCTTACGCCTAACCTGCAATCAAGGCACCGCTTCCTCCGTTATGTTGTCTCACTTCATTATACCAATAGCCCTACTGTTTAACGAAGATAGCAAAAGCTAGCTAGCGGGATGTTGCAACGTCGCATACTTTAGGTATCCTCTAGGTGAACTTTATCGTTTGGGTATAACCTGCACAGAATGCAATGAAGGCAGCGTATCATGTTATCTCATTTCACTGCACCAAGTTCCTTATAGTTTTGAAGAAGGTAGCAAGAACTACCTGAGGGATGTTGCCATGACGCATCCTATAGGTGAACTTCATCGTTTGAGTATAACCTGCACAGAATGCAGTAAAGGTAACGCACCATGTTACGTCGTTGCATTGTACCAATAACTTTGGTGTTTAAAAAAATAGAAGAGACTAGCTAGTAAGATGTTACGACGTTGCATAATTCACGTATCCTGTAGGTGAACTTTATTGCTTAGGCAGAACCTGCAAGAAATGCAATCAAGGTAACGCTTCACACGACATGTCACATCACCTGATTACACAAAACACCCTACTAATTAGTGAAGGTAGCAAAAGTTAGCTGTTGCCACGTTGCATGCTTTAGGTACCCTGTAGGTGAACTTTATCGGTTGGGTATAACCTGCACAGAATGCTATGAAGGCAGCGTATTATGTTATCTCATTTCACTGCACCGAGTTCCTTATAGTTTTGAAGAAGGTAGGAACAACTAGCTGATCGATGTTACCACGACGCATCCTTTAGGCATCCTATAGGTGAACTTCATCGTTTGAGTATAACCTGCACATGATGCAGTAAAGGTAACGCACCATGTTATGTCGTTGCATTGTACCAATAACTTTGTTGTTTAAAAAAATAGAAGACATAGCTAGTAAGATGTTAGGACGTTGCATAATTCACGTATCCTGTAGGTGAACTTTACCGCTTAGGCAAAACCTGCAAGAAATGCAATCAAGGTAACGCTTCATACGACATGTCATATCACCCGATTACACAAAACACCCTACTGACTAATGAAGATAGCAAAAGCTAGCTGTTGCCACGTTGCATGCTTTAGGTACCCTGTAGGTGAACTTTATCGGTTGGGTATAACCTGCACAGAATGCTATGAAGGCAGCGTATTATGTTATCTCATTTCACTGCACCGAGTTCCTTATAGTTTTGAAGAAGGTAGGAACAACTAGCTGATCGATGTTACCACGACGCATCCTTTAGGCATCCTATAGGTGAACTTCATCGTTTGAGTATAACCTGCACATGATGCAGTAAAGGTAACGCACCATGTTATGTCGTTGCATTGTACCAATAACTTTGTTGTTTAAAAGAATAGAAGACATAGCTAGTAAGATGTTAGGACGTTGCATAATTCACGTATCCTGTAGGTGAACTTTACCGCTTAGGCAAAACCTGCAAGAAATTCAATCAAGGTAATGCTTCATATGACATGTCACATCACCCCATTACACAAAACACCCTACTGACTAATGAAGATAGCAAAAGCTAGCTGTTGCCACGTTGCATGCTTTAGGTACCCTGTAGGTGCACTTTATCGTTTGGCTATAACCTGAACAAAATGCAATGCAATCAAGGTAGCACTTTCTCCGTCATGATCTTTCACAGCATCACAGCAAGCACCTTATTGTTCAAAGAAGGTAGCAAAAACTAGCTGAGGGATGTTGCCATGACGCATCCTATAGGTGAACTTCATCGTTTGAGTATAACCTGCACAGAATGCAGTAAAAGTAACGCACCATGTTATGTCGTTGTATTGTACCAGGAACCTTGGTGTTTAAAAAAAATAGAAGAAGCTAGCTAGTTAAATGTTACCTACGTATCCTGTAGGTGAACTTTATCGCTTAGGCAAAACCTGCAAGAAATGCAATCAAGGTAACGCTTCATACGACATGTCACATCACCCGATTACACAAACCACTCTACTAATTAATGAAGGTAACAAAAGCTAGCTGTTGCCACGTTGCATGCTTTAGGTACGCTGTAGGTGAACTTTATCGTTTGGGTATAACCTGCACAGAATGCAATGAAGGCAGCGTATCGTGTTATCTCATTTCACTGCACCAAGTTCCTTATAGTTTTGAAGGAGGCAGCAAGAACTAGCTGAGGGATGTTGCCACGACGCATCTTTCAGGCATCCTATAGGTGAACTCCATCGTTGGAGTATAACTTGCACAGAATGCAGTAAAGGTGACGCACCACGTTATGTCGTTGCATTGTACCAGGAACCTTGGTGTTTAAAAAAATAGAAGAAACTAGCCAGTAAGATGTTACGACGTTGCATAAGTCACGTATCCTGTAGGTGAACTTTATCGCTTAGGCAAAACCTGCAAGAAATGCAATCAAGGTAACGCTTCATACGACATGTCACATCACCCGATTACACAAAACACCCTACTAACTAATGAAGATAGCAAAAGCTAGCTGTTGCCACATTGCATGCTTTAGGTACCATGTAGGTGAAGTTTATCGTTTGGGTATAACCTGCACAGAATCCAATGAAGGCAGCGTATCATGTTATCTCATCTCACTGCACCGAGTTCCTAATAGTTTTGAAGAAGGTAGCAAGAACTACCTGAGGGATGTTGCCATGACGCATCCTATAGGTGAACTTCATCGTTTGAGTATAACCTGCACAGAATGCAGTAAAGGTAACGCACAATGTTATGTCGTTGCATTGTACCAATAACCTTGGTGTTTGAAAAAATAGAAGAAACTAGCTAGTAAGATGTTACGACGTTGCATAATTCACGTATCCTGTAGGTGCACTTTATCGCTTAGGCAAAACCTGCAAGAAATGCAATCAAAGTAACGCTTCATCCAAAATGTTACATCACCCGATTACACAAAACACCCTACTAATTAATGAAGATAGCAAAAGCTAGCTGTTGCCACGTTGCATGCTTTAGGTACCCTGTAGGTGCACTTTATCGTTTGGCTATAACCTGAACAAAATGCAATGCAATCAAGGTAGCACTTTCTCCGTCATAATCTTTCACAGCATCACAGCAAGCACCTTATTGTTCAAAGAAGGTAGCAAAAACTAGCCGAGGGATGTTGCCATGACGCATCCTATAGGTGAACTTCATCGTTTGAGTATAACCTGCACAGAATGCAGTAAAGGTAACGCACCATGTTATGTCGTTGTATTGTACCAGGAACCTTGGTGTTTAAAAAAAATAGAAGAAGCTAGCTAGTTAAATGTTAGCTACGTATCCTGTAGGTGAACTTTATCGCTTAGGCAAAACCTGCAAGAAATGCAATCAAGGTAACGCTTCATACGACATGTCACATCACCCGATTACAAAAAACACTCTACTAATTAATGAAGATAACAAAAGCTAGCTGTTGCCACGTTGCATGCTTTAGGTACCCTGTAGGTGAACTTTATCGTTTGGGTATAACCTGCACAGAATGCAATGAAGGCAGCGTATCGTGTTATCTCATTTCACTGCACCAAGTTCCTTATAGTTTTGAAGGAGGCAGCAAGAACTAGCTGAGGGATGTTGCCACGACGCATCTTTCAGGCATCCTATAGGTGAACTCCATCGTTGGAGTATAACTTGCACAGAATGCAGTAAAGGTAACGCACCACGTTATGTCGTTGCATTGTACCAGGAACCTTGGTGTTTAAAAAAATAGAAGAAACTAGCCAGTAAGATGTTACGACGTTGCATAAGTCACGTATCCTGTAGGTGAACTTTATCGCTTAGGCAAAACCTGCAAGAAACGCAATCAAGGTAACGCTTCATACGACATGTCACATCACCCGATTACACAAAACACCCTACTAATTAATGAAGATAGCAAAAGCTAGCTGTTGCCACATTGCATGCTTTAGGTACCATATAGGTGAAGTTTATCGTTTGGGTATAACCTGCACAGAATCCAATGAAGGCAGCGTATCATGTTATCTCATCTCACTGTACCGAGTTCCTAATAGTTTTCAAGAAGGTAGCAAGAACTACCTGAGGGATGTTGCCATGACGCATCCTATAGGTGAACTTCATCGTTTGAGTACAACCTGCACAGAATGCAGTAAAGGTAACGCACCATGTTATATCGTTGCATTGTACCAATAACCTTGGTATTTGAAAAAATAGAGGAAACTAGCTAGTAAGATGTTACGACGTTGCATAATTCACGTATCCTGTAGGTGAACTTTACCGCTTAGGCAAAACCTGCAAGGAATGCAATCCAAGTAACGCTTCATCCAAAATGTTACA